GGAACCATCCATCTCTGTGGGTGTGTGGGGACAGCCTGACCAGCTCTGCAAAGACACTTTGATTTACAGCCCTGAGCAAAGCTGGAGCGATTCCACAGGCAGGGAAGGGACAGGGCCAGCAGACACAGGGAATTGCCAGGAGCAACCAAATCTCTCTGCTCGAAATCCCAGTTTCCCATGTATTAACATCCAAATGCCTAAAAGCACYTCATTGTGCACAAAACCTCCACCATAATCCAAATACCCAAATATCCCTTTTCCCTCCCAAACTCATGCTTCATGGCAGGGGAAAAGGGCTTAGGAGGGATGAAAAGAAAATCCAGCAACACCTACAGAAGCAGATTTTTGAACTCCCATCCTTTTGAAGCTCTTTATTTTGGCCCAGGACAGGCTGGCAGGCCCTTGGTGGGGGCAAACAGGCACAAGGAAAATTGCAGGAGCAGAGACTCTGCTCAAACAGGACCGTGGTTTATTTCTGGGAGGAAAAACAGCAGGAAAGCTTGGGTGGAAAAGGCTGGGAATGATGGTTTCTCACACCATGGAAGTTCAGGAGCCACTGCCACAGGGAAGTTTCTGCAGCAATTCCTGCTGATGTGACACCCAAATCCCCCAGTCTTCCACCTGACCATCCCATACAGAAATCCAAATCCTTCGTTTTCCACTCTCCAGCTGCCCCATTCCCACTGCCAGCAGCGCAGGGAAGCTGCAGGAATGTTAAAAGGCTGCTGGAGAGGGTCAGGAGCAGGAGGGAGCTGGAGATGCTCCATTCCCCAGGGAGGGAATGAGGAATGAGGGAACGAGGAGGGAGGACAATCCCTGCCTGGGCTGCCTGTGCCCTCTCGTGGCTGCCTGACCGTGCTGCACCAACACATCCTCGAGTGGATTTTAACTGAAAATAAAATTAAATCCCCTTCTGGAGACAGCTCTCCCCACTGCCATCTCCCGGGGGGGACGAGGAGATCTTCCATGGTGACATCCAGAGCTGAGCAGGGAGGAGAACAAGTGAAACCAGAGCGACCCCAAACCTCAAACTGCTGAGAGGAGAAGGGGGGGAGCGCTCAGGAAAGGGGAAGGAAGAAAATCCTCGGATGACCCAGCAAATAAAAGGAGACAAAACCGAGCAGAAGCCTCAGCTTCCCCCAACAAGATCAGCGTCCTGCCCTGGTGAATAAAAGCACCCCAAACCCCATCCTGTAGGATTTCCCCTTGCACCCCAACTCCAGGCAGACTTGTAGAGGTTAATAGCAAATGTTTATTTTCCTTTATGAAAGAGCAGGGCGCAACCATCCCACTGCCAACGGGGTGACTTTGTTTTCCTTCACAAATTGTTCTCTCTGCTYCGTTTGAAAAGCAAGGCAACCTCAGACAAAGCATTGCTCCAGGTCCTTGTGTCTCAAAGTGCTTTTCAATGTGACACCGAGGGGAAAGAAACAAAATAGGGAGAAATTCCAGGGGTGGAATTCACCTGAGCTGGAATCTGCAGCTGGGCAAACCAAAGCTGTGTTGTTTCTCTCTCCCCTGGACAAACCCACAGCAGCTCAGGAGGAGAAAATTGAGTTCCTGCTGTAAGATCCCTCAGGAAATGATGGGGTTATGGAGCTGAGGATGGGCACCAGCTTGCTGAGGGCGGCAGAGGGACAGAAGTGAAAACCCCAGGGTGGGTGAYGGCTGAGCTGATGGCAGAGTCACTGAAAAAAAGGCTGAATTGGCTACAAAATACTGTCATGGCTTTAACAAACCTGGCTCTGGGCTCAGGCTGTGTCAGGTCTGTGCATTCCCACACATCCCTCCCTCCCAGCACATTTTGGGGCATGCAGGAACATCAGGATCTGTCTGAGAGGTCTCAGATTCCTCAGCTCAGGAAAAGCTGGGATTCCTCAGGCATCTCCAGGTCTGGTGGAACACCAGGAAGGAATCTCTGGGCTCAGGACTAAGACACAAAGAGCCCAACCTGGCAACAGGGACTGTGCCTGAAGATGGGAACAGGACTGCCCAAAGTTCTCTCAGGGCAGGAACAGCTCAGAGGAACATTTGTGGGTGTTCAGGAGCGTGGGGAGCTTCACACCAGGGACTGTCACAGGGTCCTGCATCCACTTCTGACAAATCCCACAGATTTCCCAGGGCAGGAGGAAAAATCCTGCAGGCAGCTGGAGCTGTGGAATTGCCCTGCTCCCCTTTTCCTGCCCCCCTTATCCTGCACCTCCCAGGTGCACAGCTCCAGCCGTTCCCCAGCCCGGATAACCCAGTGCAAAACACCCAGCTAAAAACAGGAACAAACCCCTCTTTGTGACTYGGCTGGCAACAAGCTTCCCTCACGGGCTCCTTCACAAGGAACAAGGAAGTACTTGGAAACAAACTGTTCATGGCTCTCCTTAAGATTCTTGTGCTCTGCTGGCGTTTTCAGGGCTGCTGCGGTCAGCAGGACCTCGGGCACAGCACCGCCCATCCCAAAAAAAGCGAGGGGAACAGACAGCCAGCATCTGTCCTGACGGGCTGGCTCCCAGGGGAGATTCAGAATCCCGCCCTGGCCTGGCCTGGGGCTGTGCCAAAGCAGGCTGTGTATAAAAAAAATGTTAAAAAATGGATATACAGTAACATAGGAGACTCCAGAGTCCAGGGATGGCCGTCCCGGAGCAGCCAGGGCCAGCCCAGCTCCGGGCTCMAGTCACAGCCCAAGGTGGCACCTGTGCCCCTCTCAGGGGAGGTGGCAGGGGCAGGACAGGCACTGCTGTGCCAGCTTTTCCTCCAGGAGCAGCTCCTGCCACGCTCAGAGGGGCTCTGCTCACATCTCGCTGGGATAAAAGCCGAGCTTGGCCAGAGACATCTCCCTGCGCAGCCGCATCACCTCCCAGTACATCAGCTCCACTGCAAAGCACAACAGGGGAAAAACGGGGGAAAACATCAAAAATTCAGTAAGCAAGGCACAGCTGGCCACCAGCTCTGCTCTGCCCTCACCATTGCCAAGATGAGGGAGGCAGGACAGGTCACCCCTGTGCAGCTCCAGCCCAAGGCAGAGCTGGTGAGCAGGGAGGAGATGCTCCACTCCTCCCCTCTCTGTGCCTTTCCTTTGTCATTGATCTGCTTTCCCAAAGCCACCCTGGTTCCTGTCACTCCAAACAGCTCCTCCCAACTCCTGCCAGCTGCCCCCACAGGGATCATCCCACTGGAGCCAGCTCTTACCATCCTGCCTCACCAGGCCTTGCTGGATGTAGCGGATGTAGGTGAAGAAGTTGCACACTGCTGTGATCTGGGGGAAAGAGGAGAAAAAAAAGGAACAAAAATCTGAGACGTTACTTTGGTGCAAGTGATGAAAATGAGTCAAATCTGTGCACAAAACCACAACTTTCTGTGGKATCAGCTCTTCTAAAATGCAGCTCAGGGAAGAATTAACTTCTRAAATCCTCCACTGAGCCCCAACAGCAACGTTAACAAATGATCCACCTTCTCCCTCCCTTCCACAGAAAGGACAGTTTGTTCCCACAGCCAGGCACRGATCTGGAACAACAACCTTTAAAGAGCAGAAAACTACTGCTTTACAAAAGGGAATTAAATAATAACAATAAAACCAATCAAAGCCCTGTGCTGAATGAAATCATGGGACTTGAACACGCTGGAGGTTGCTGAAAGCAGAGGGAAGAGCTGGACCTGCCCCTTAATCCTCAACCCAGAGCCATCCTGACCTCGGGAATGGCCCCAAAATCCCAAAGTTTTCCTCAGTTCCAGGGCTGACCCTCAGGAGCTCATCCACTGCAGGGCCTGGAATAATTCTGGAGGGTGGGGACCCTGGGAAGGGGAGGGACTCACCCTGGCCCTGCAGGAAGGGGAGATGTAGTAATAATTCCCAGAATCTCCCAGCATGATCCGGTGCTTGCAGGTCCTGGGGAGGCCACTCAGGGCACATTTCCTGCAGGAGAAGGATAAAACATTTCAGCCATCCAGTGGCACAGCAGAGATCAGGGATTCATCCACCTGGAGAGATGGAAGTGAGAGATCAGAGGCCACACCTGGGTCAGACAATGTCAAGAAGGGAAAAGAAAAAAAAAAAAAGCAAAGCCCTTGGCTGATATTTTGTTGCTCTTGGTAATATTCCATAAATGGCAAGTTTAGTTTAAGTTTAGGGTTTTTTTTTTTTTTTGTGAAAGCACCTTTTTCCTGGCACACAGCCCCCAGAGGGGCTTGGAAATATTAAAGAGGTGAGGCTGGAGCAGAGCACAACCAATGTCCCCTGCTCTCTGCACATGTTCCCCATGTTCCAGGGCAGGCTCAGCTTTCCTGGTGGGATGCAAACACCCTGGCTGGGCACCAAACCTGCCCTCAAAACAGGTAAATCCACMGTCTGAGCAAGATTTGCACATACCATGGACTCAAAACAGGCCAACCCCTCCTTGGGCACACAGGGAAGGAGCTTGGCTTCCCAATTTTGAGATTTCAGAAGGTGAAAACAGCATTTACCAAACAATCATCAGCAAGAGTTCAGGATATTTTCTTCCATTTTCTCCTGTTATTTGCAGGGCAGATAATTCCCAGCACCACTTGAAGCAATAAAGCAGAATTTTCTACTGCACAATCATCAGCACGTTCCACAAGAACTCAGTGGGAAGRGGAACATCACTCCCAAACTGCAAAAATCTTCTCTGGGGGGCTACAGGAGGTGAGAGCAGAGGGGAGCAGATGTTTCAGGCCTGTCCCTGGGCTTGTTTTGCACTGCTCTCAAGGCAAACATTAGCCAAGAGTGGGAGCACGGGTTCCAAGTGTCCAGATGCAAGGAGAAGTAATCATTGACCAAATATTAACACAACTTGAGGAGATTAAATTCCCAGGAGGTGCAGGATGACCAAAAGCTTTGTAAACAAGATACCTGGAAGGAGCCACATATTTGAGCATTGCAACATCCTGGAAAAAAAAGTGATTCTTGCTTGGTCAGAGCCACTTGGTGTAAAAACACAGCTATCACAACCAAACTAAAAAAAATCAGTGTTTTGCATCTGGGAAAAAGGGAAAAAAATTCCTTTTGGGTCTTTTATTGCCATTGGAGTCCTTCCCATCCTGCCTGGGGGGAATTTAAACAGGGTTAAAGAGTTAGGTCAGCTCAGCAAAAGCCTCCAAGCTGCCACAGGGCGCTGAGTTAGTGACTTGTTAATGCTCCAGAGATCTTTGATCACTGGCTGAAAAACAAATGTTTCACTTACGTTACAATTTGTGACCGGAAGCCACTGTGAAGACAAAAAAAAAATTAAAAAAAAAAATTAAAAGGAATCTGATAAGGATAAACACAGGATGGGTTGTTTGGGGAATGATTTGCAGGAGAATAACAGGAAACCTGCATGTCACAGGGGCACCTCGGAAGGTGGGAAAGGACTTAAATTTCGTATCTGAATAAAATCCCTCCCTTTTGTGAGGARTATCACATCACTCCTGCTAGCCCAGGCTGTCTGTCACACACAGGGGACAAGAGATGGGAGACAGGGTCCTTACTTGGGGCCWCCACACTCTTCTGCTGCCACTTTGCCCACGGGGACAGTCTGGGAAGCCACGGGCTCGATGGTCAGGGTGTTCTGCTCCACAGCCACTCGCACCAGCTCCGACAGCTGGGAAAAAAGGGGGAAACAGGGGTGAATCCTGGAAAGGTGACACTYCAGAGCTGCTCCTGCTTCTCCAGCACTCACCTCCTGCTTGGTGAAGTCCAGACAAGGGCCTACATCCTCTCGGTAAATTCTGTCCAGGAAGGAGCAGGATTTATCCAGAGTTGGAGATTCCTTCCAGGCCTGGAACTCGGCAAATAAAATGGAGTCGAGCTGCAGGGAGGGACAGCATGTCAGAAAGTGCTGGAAACCTATGAAACATCTTCTCTTCCAAACTGGAGAGGCTCAGACACCATGCAAGTGTCCRAGGGAAGCTGCCTTTCCCCAAGGATCCCTAATTTCCCCCCCAGCAGCAGTTCTGTGCCAGAGGAACAGCCCAACAAAAGCTGCTGAAAGGAAAAAAATAAAAACCAAAACCAAGCTGAGCAACACAAAGTTAAGATGAGCGAACGCAGCTGGAAAATTCTGGATTCCAGCACAGCCCCTCCGTGCCATGGAGACTGCTCACCTGGGACCAGCAACAGCCTCAGAGCCACGAGATGGAAAAACAAATGGAGAAAAATGAAATGAAGGGGGGAAAACATGGAGATTAGCACAAAAGGAAGCTGGAGCTGCAAGGCTGGGAGTGTGCYCAGGGGTTGGTTACCTGCCGTGAGGAGGAGGAGGAGGAGGAAGCATCTGCTCCCAGGGCCTGCCAGCCTGGCTCATAGGTGATGTGGATAGCCTTCCCAGGGAGGATGCAAAGGAGCAGGGAGAGGARAGCAGGGAAACCAGACTGGGAGGGCAGAGGGAGAGACAGACAGTGAAGGAAGAGGTTTAGAGAGACAGGCAAAGAGGGAGGGAAAAAACACGAGATACAGAGGAAGGCTCAGGTCCTCCCCTCCAGGAACTGGGCATGGTCCTCAAGGACCACAGGGCCACAAATCACTCCTTCAGACTTCAGCTTGAGGCGTAAAAAGGGAACAGAAATTGCCATTTTTARGCACGATTTAAAATCTTTCCCAGAGCACCAACTTTCTGAATGCTGGGTTCTCTTTTATCATCTCTCACCCAGGCCAGAAAGGATTCTGAGGGACAAAAACATGGGCACTCTGGGAGCTGAGCCCTGAGATCTGAAACCCCGGGGCATCTGCACCCTGTGGAAGTTGCCTCCATGAAGGAATGACAGATCCAAATCTTTAACAAGCCTTTGTGCTCCCTCAACAATTCCTCACGACAGAGGCTGCAGCTCCCAAAAAATCACTCCCCCACCACGTTCTTCTTCATTTCCTTTCCTCCCGACCCAGTGCCTCCTTTTTGCTCCCCAGGACAGCTGTGCCCACATCTGGCTGGTGGAAATTGTGCTCAGCAGCTCCCACTGGCACCTCCAGGGACCCCTTGACTGCTTCCTGTCCCGACAAAGAGGAAATCCCCGCAAAACGAAACTCTCCAGCACAGATTTAGGGAACAAGGCACCAACAGCTGCTGTGTGAGAGCTCAGTGGAGCTCTGGGCCATCCCTCACCCACCTCCTTGCACTCGCGGCTGGCGGGCTCCGGCAGCACGGCGCTGCTGGTGCTCTTGTTGCGCCCGTGGCCCTTCCTGAAGCCGCCCTTGGAAGGGCTCTGCAGCTGAGGGTGCAGCTCCCTGTTCGGGGAGGACGGCGTGGATGTGATCACCAGMGTCTTCAGGGCTGTCACCTCGGCCTGCAGCATGTCAATCTGGGGACACAGCCACAGTCACCCTCTCCCCGTGCTCCCAGGGCATGTCATCATCCAGAATTTTCAACAGCAGCTGTTTGGGAATCTGCCCCTCTGCCCTTCCACCAGCACATTTTGCTCCAGGCTCATTTTAGAACCAGTAACTCCAGGAATTTCTCTCTCCTCAAGATGGAGCCATTGGAGCAGCCCCTGGAGTACTGGCGTGTCAGGAAATTCCAGCTCTCTGAGCCCCTGCTCCATCCATCCATCCATCCATCCATCCCTCATCCATCCATCCATCCATCCATCCATCCATCCATCCATCCATCC